GGAGGGGGGGGGGAGCTGGGTCCTGTGTGTGTCTGCAAAACAATCCTATCTGACATTTGATAGGTTAGTTCAGGAAAAATAAACTTTTGGTGGCCCCGGTTCTGAAAGCACAAGGACTGGTCATGACTCTGGGTCTATTCAGAGAGAGCCACCACAAGATAGATGTGTATAATTATTCATTTAGTATTATTGGTTTGTTTTGTTGTTTGTTTGTTTATTGTTGTTGTTTATTTTTATTGTTTGTTTGTTTGTGTGTTTATTTATTAGCCAATACTCTGTTCTTGAGTCACTCTGACCAGCCAAAGAGATTGTGGAGTCTATACCTGTCTATACCCGCGGTCCATGTGAATAAGAGTGATGGATGGGGATGGGGATGGGGATGGGGATGGAAGGGGGATGGGGCTTGTGAAGGAGGCAGGAGCCCTTGGGTGGGACGCTCACCCCTCTCACCTGCACGACTCTCATGTCCAGCCCGGTCTCCGAGGACAGCTGCTCCCTGACGTGCCTGGCAGGCTTGGGGGAGTTGTTATACGCGTTCTTCAGGGTTTCCAGCTGCTTGGCGGTGATCGTGGTGCGGGGTCTCTTCGCTGTGGACTCGGCAGTTGGGGACCCGGAGCGACAATCCGCAGCCGAGCCTCCGCACACGGGTTGGCTTTGATCGCGTCCCACCGAGTCTGGAAGGGCGGCGGGGGGCAAATCCGGGTCTGCTTGGCCCATGAGTGGCCCCACAAGCAGCGAAGAAAGAGAGTTCGGGCTTAAGTTTGCAATCCCGTGGGAACTGCCTATTCTGAGGCTGCACCCTGGGGGTGATTGTCCATCGCCCATCTGTTACACGGCTCCTCGGAGGCGGAGCAATAGCTGTGTGTCTGTGTCTGACCCCCCCTCTCGGAAACGTCCCCGGAATAGCAGCTCTGAACTACTGAAACGGAGTAAAAATATTGAGTCTTGGAGCCTCTGGAATGGATCGAACACTGAGCATGTAAATGTATCATGATTATCCATGGCTGCGCTGGTCCACTCCCCTCATGAAACACCCATGGGAGCGTTAACCCCCCTCCCCCATTTTATTTTGCTTCCTTCGCCTCCCGGATCTATCCTATTTGTGATGCACAAAACCGAAGCGGCGCTGGCGTTTACACTGCAAAATTGCACGAGTTCCGGCTGCCAGGAAGGGGTGCCCGCCCCATCACACCAGAAAAACCAAATTCTAGTCAATATGAAACTCACCCCCTCCAAGTAACCATGGTGAGGTTCATTCACCCCCCTGAACCCCCTCTGACTAACCATGGTGAGGTTCATTCACCCCCCTGTTCATTCACCCCCTCAGTTTGCTCACAGGAGAAACGAACCCTCTGTTATAGTAGAACCAATTTTTTCACCGATAGCCTCCAATATACTTCCAAAGGGAGACTTTTTCCACATGCCTTTTCCCTGCCCATGAATTTGCCAGGCTGCTTTCCTGGAGCATCAGTACCCAGCAGGGCTAATTGTGCACCTGAAACTCACCTGAGCACCTCTAGTCTGAGCGTGCATGTCTAGACATGGTGTGTTTCTCTTCCAAAGATTAGGACGCGTGCTCTGTAAATAGCCTATAGACAGTGCTGGATCTGGATGGGGCTGAATTTTGGATGCGGGGAGGAATGGTAGCAGGGACAGGTCCCATAGCGGGGGGCTGCCCGGCTTATGCGCCATCCAACGGGGCTGACTTGAAAGCAGGGAAAGTTCACAACAACTGGAAGTTTTGCCCGAGGATGGGTGCTCCCAAACTATCCCAAGCCCGAGTACAAAAACACAGACACTTTTCAGGCTGAAATGGGGGGTTTAAAGTGATTGTGGTACTTGGCTTTTGGAAAGTAGGGTTTACTTGCCACAAGGATTAAAATTGTTAATAATTCACTAGTAGTGACCCCATGTTTGGTGAGCCCTAGGTCTCACGACAAAAGAAGGAAGGGTCACCAAATGAAATATAGGGCACGTCTAGGCTACGTTTTAATTTTGAAAGAGGAAAAAAGTTTCGATCGCTTTTTCGAAAGTGAGTCTTTCGAAAGTGAAAGTAGTCTGGATGCGGTTTTTTCGGGGGGGAAACCCTTTTTCGAAAAACCGCATAAACCTTTTTTTAGGAAAAGCATTTTTTGAAAAAGGATTTTTTTTTTCAAAAAACCCTCGTCCAGACTACTTTCACTTTCAAAAAACCGGCTTTCGAAAAAGCAATTGGAAGAAGATATGAAAATTAGCACCAAATTTGCATATCTCTTTTCAAAAAAAACGAGACCAGGACTTTATCAGGGTTCAAAGAAGAGCTAGATCAATTCATGGATGATGGGTCCATCAATGGCGATTAGCCAGGATGGCTAGGGATGGTGTCCCCAGCCTCTGTTTGCCAGAAGGTGGGAATGGGCGACAGGGGAAGGATCACTGGATGATTCCCTGTTCTGTTCACTCCCTCTGGGGAACCTGCATGGGCCACTGTCGGCCGACAGGACACTGGGTTGGACGGACCTTTGGCCTGACCCAGTCTGGCCGTTCTTATGTTCTTAGTTTCCTGGCTGGTTTGATATTTTGGGAAATACCCGTGTTTCGAAGGAGACATGCTAAACTGCAGCTCATTCCATTTTATCCAAACCTGCCTCGCCTCTGTGACTGACTCTTGCTTGCTCCTCCAGCTTGTATGGGAAGGAACTGGGCTGGCTGGTGGCCAGGAGACAGCCCCCTCCCCCAGCACAGTGCTAGCTAGGAGACCCCCTCCCCCGGCTGACTTGCCCCGTTACCTCTCTGCTTGGCAGTCTCGTAGTCGGCCTTGCAGACCAGCCGGCTGTCCTCCATGAGGTAGAACTCGTCCCCCGTGGCCAGCTGCCGCTTGCACACGATGCAGGAGAAGCAGTGTAGGTGGTAGACGAAGTCCTGGGCCCGTCTCACCACCTGGGTCGGGGGGATCCCCTGCTGGCAGGCGGCGCATTTCGTCCCAAACCTCCTGCGGGAAGAGAAGAGCAGAACATTGGGTGCCTGTCGGCGGGGCTGGAAAGGCCGGTGGGACGAAGCCCCTCGCTGGACTCCCAGGGGCTGGCCGGGGCATGACGGCCTGTCTCAGCGTGGGGTGCAGAGGGGGCTGTAAGGGTAGGATCTCAACACGCGCACGCGCGCACACACACGCACGCACATACACACGCACGGCCTTGTTAAGTGCTTGCGGCCCGGCACCTGCTTGGACTGGGGCAGATCCTCGAATCTAGGGCCTGCCTGGGCTAGCGCCTGCGGAGAGGGGTCCGCTTTGCGCCTGGTTGTGGGTGCACCCTGGGGCTCTGCATGGGAAGTTATGTGGTGCGGGGGAGCAGGGGGGCCCCCACACCCTGGGATTTCGTGGGGGGCTCCCAACGAACAGGGATTCCTCAGTCGGGAAGGGGGGGGCACCCTCCAGGTGGAAGTCACGACGTTTGAGCTGGAGGCTGGACCGTGGGCACTTCGCTACGGGCCAGACAGTCCCCCCCGCCCTGGCAGGCCCC